TCAAAATTGGAGCTCATAGCCCCTTGATCTCAACAAGGGGTGTAAAATCTGGGTTTATGCTATTTCGAGTGAATTCATGTTTGGGGCCCGGAGCACATCAGGGCTTGCCTCGGTTTCCAACCTTTCAACTCCATCCGCCAGACTGTGTTCGTTTTTACCTCATGTCGTACGTGCGGTAACATAACCAGACCGTTTGGCTAAAACGAACACATGGCGCTGTCTTCAAAGCATGGCAAATCGGAGCGCAACAAACAGAGGCTGTTTGGATACGCAAATAAAGTCGTCAACGCCGGAGATGACCGAAACCGCCCCCCTCCCTCTTCTGAGGGCCACCGAGTCGATCCGGTTTTCCCAACTTACTTCTGGTTGCCATCAGACAAGATTTCAGCAGGCTCCAGTTCGTCCATTTGTTCACACTACACTGCAGCTAAGCATTACATGCAGGGCCGGTCTGCCCCGCAGGCTTTACAGAAAACTGCCGTCTGTGGTTCCCAACCGTCAGGTCATCGAGAAGGCGAAGTTGTCCCAGCCGACGCCGCCCTACACCTCCAACTAGACGCTTACGAGCGAAGGAAGGAGGAAAATGGACGACACATTTTCCGCGCCCAATAGACACCAGGTGTGTGCTGACTGTGTGTATATGCACTTTTATCCACGAGACCGTAACACCGCACGGAAGGTCAGCAGGTGCGTAAGGTCATGGTTATTGGGCAGCTGATAAAGCAGTCAGAGACCGCAAGAGAGAGAGCGAACATTGATTTCGCCATGGCACATAGCAGTTTGACGGACGTTAAAAAAACGGGAATGGGGGGAGGGGGCTGGAAGTATTGAACTAAACAGCGGCATGGAAAAGAGAAGAGCACTACGACGAAATCAACTTCGTCGCCTTCTTCTCCAGCTGCAACCCGCACTCGTTGGAAGAGCAGCACCCAAAAACTGCGTGCTGATCCATTTCTAAATATGCCCATGAGCAGGACAGACTACTGGCTGCAGAAGCGGAAAGCGAGGAACAAAACTTCAGCCTTCTGGTCGCAATGCCGCACAGGCACCAAAGCCAACCTCCAGGAGGAAGCATTTATAGGAAACACAATGGAAAAGAGGTCGAAATTGTGTATACAAAGCCCCCACACCCCCCTCATATCCTTCTCGGCAGGACACTCGAAAAGGGACGCTGCCCGCGTAATACAACAGATAGTCCTTTAGGGCTAATAGTTGTTTCCTAACTCTAACCCTAATTTCCCTGTAATTAAACGCAGTACTACGAGCGCTCCTTCTTCTGCCCGGGGGCGGGAGGGGAGG